TAAATCTCTCACAAGAGAGTTGAATTCACACGGAACTCGTGATGTGACAGATGTGACAGAGTAATTTCCTATATATGAGAGTCGGACTACTTGTTATACTTTGGTAGTACCTTTTTAAACCCTTCACCTTCGAGAGAAGGGTATATATAAGTTTGTCGGTCCGTTTGTAATTTCCAAAATATAATTTTCCGACCCTATAAAGTATATATATTCTGAATCCTTATAGATAGTGGAGTCAATTAAGCCATGTCCGTCTGTCTGTTGAAATCAGTTTTCTGAAGACCTCAGATATCTTCGGGATCCAAATCTTCAATAAATCTATCAGACATGCTTTAGAAAAGTTTTCTATTTAAAATCAGCAAAATCCGTCCATAATCAACGGAGATATAAGCAAAAATCCGAGACAACCTCTGAAAATTTCATAAAAAAGTCAATTTTTTTCATGCTTTGATAAATAAGCAACAAAAACACTGCTTATTCATTGCGTTGTGTATTTTGTTCTTTTTTTGAGTATTTCGTTTCGTATGTTTGGATCTCTGTTAGTTTTACTGCCTTGTGTATTTTGTATTTTTGTATGTTTATTTCGTTTAGTGTTGTTTTTGTTCATTTTGTTTTGCTATTGCTATAATAATGATATAGTCGGGAAAATGAAATAAATTTTAATTTTATAAAATTGATATTTTTTAAATATTTGTTTTCTTAGAGAATCCTTATATGGGGGGTAGGGCCAATTATGGACCGATCCTCATAAAATTTGGTAAAGAGATTTTGGTTCATATAAAACTTGTTTATGTCGAATTTCGTTGACATACGAATGTTTTAAACCAGCTATGACTGTTCACACTGTTTTTCGGGGGGCCACTTGTATGGGGGCTATGCGAAAACATGAACCGATTTGGTCCATATTCAATACCAAACAAACTGCATGAATAAAAATATTTGTAAAAAATTTCAGCTCCTTAGCTTTTCTTTCAGACTCTACCGTGCTTTCAACAGACAGACGGACGGACGGACATGGCTAGATCGTCTTAGAATTTAATAAGGACCCAGAATATATATACTTTTGTGGGTCTCTGACCAATATTTCGATATGTTACAAACGGAATGACAAAATCAATATACCCCCATCTTTTTTGATGGTGGGTATAAAAACGGAGTTTTTTATTTTCTACATAAAGAACAGATGTATATTGATAATATGAAGACATGAGATAAAAAATTGTCACTTTTTTTGTTCTTTCCTGGAATTCATGATATAAATCGTACAAGCGCAGCGAGCTCTCAATTGAGCTCTCTGGTTTATTTTCCAACACACGTACGTAACTTCCAAACTAAGAGAATGAGAGCTTGGAAGTTTTTTGATGGAGTTACACATAGAGAAATCTGTGTTGTTAAACATAAAGATAAGTTCTTGTTTTCCGAAAGTTATTTTTGCATATGAGAATGTTTGATATTTAATATTTATTTTAATTTTAAAATATCTCAAGAAAAATTTTCATTAAATACATAAAAAAATATATTTGAAAATTTTTTTCTGAGTAATTGTAAAAATAATGAGAATTTTAATAAAGGTGAATCAACGACATAAACTCCTAAACAAATGTAATATCCGCTACTATGTTAATTCTTAATATACAAGCCTATTTACAACATTATCCTGTAGATATTTTCAATTAATTGACATTTGTAGCACTGTATATGAGCGCAAAAGTTCTTGGAGTATATTTTTATACGCCTAACGATCCATTATTTGTTTCATTTTTTAAAATCTTCCATTATTTCTTTACTTTTATTTACATGGAGTATATATTAAGATTCATTTTGTATCTAAAATTGCAAATAAATGCATCTCCGAGAGCAATGTTAAAAAATAATAAGTCGTGTTTAAATTTTTTCAATCCTATTCATAAAAAATCCAGAAATTTTAATGTTTTTTTGTTATTTATAATACAGTACACTGTAAAGTAGTGAAGTCACTACACCAAAAACACTAAAAAATCTTACAAACTTTTCTTTCAGTGAATGGAATGCAAAAACACAAAGTGAAGTAGTGTTAGTGTGGAAAGAAAATTTTACGCTCTGCCGATGTGTGGTTTAAAACAAAGTATAACAATTCTGTAGGATTTTGTGAGTTAACTAAAAATCAAGTTAACTTTTTGATAACTTATTATGACTAGCTTCAAAGTAACTCAAAAATGATCGAGGAAGTGAACAAACATTTCAATAAAATTTTAAATAAAAAATAAAATAGAAACTCGTATCAAATTTGTCAAACAATTTGTATTGAAAAAATGAAATTATGAAAATGAAAATTTGTCTCAGCAATGAAAAATGAATTTATTATTATTAAATTAACATTTTCAGGAATATAAGACATAGATAATGGTGTATATAGGAAGGAAATGTTGCTGCATATTGAACGCATTTATAATCACTAACAATTTGTTAAAAATAGTATAAAAATATAAGAAAATTGCACAGGTAACTCACAGCTGATCTTTTATTTATGCACTAGAAGCTAACTCATCTTGAGGTAACTTCTGGTTAACTGAAACTGATGTATAGTGAGTGAGTACTGACTCGTTCCTATGACATCACATCGAAAAACTGAATAGTCTTTTATAAGCAAAATGGTTAGCTTTTGAGTCACCTCTGACTCATTTGTGGTTAACCATAAGTTAGTTTTAAGTTAACTCAAAATCCTACTGGGAAGTAGTCCGACTCTCACATATGGGAAATTACTCTCTCACATGTACGAGTGCCAGTGTTGTCAACTATTTTATACTAAAACGCGCCGTCCATTCACTCAAAACGCACTAAAAAGCGCTAAAATTATATTTTTACACAGCCTTAAAAAATATAGTATTTAGCTAAAATTAGTTTATTAAAAAAATTACTCCTTAATTGGAATTTTGATTCGGGAACGAAATTTAAAAAATTAAGGTTAATACAAATATGTTGGATTTTCCTATTCAATGACTAATTGCTATCATCGATCAAGATTTCAATAACTAAAGAGATTTTTTGAAATTCCCCATAATAAATTTTAATTTAACTCTTCATTTCCAAAAATACCAAGAGCCAAAACTTTGTGAAAAAACTGAAGTAATCGTCAAGTAATTGTTTCTTTCTCAGTGAAGTTATAAAAAAATAATGCTAAATTTTTGTGAATCAAACTTTGTGCGATCAAAATTATTTTTGTATTACTCACATTAAAATATCAATAGTTTTCACGAAATGCAATTTTAATTTTAAGTTCAAGTTAACCTAACTAAAATTAAGTTAATTTACAACTTTTTCCTTTTTTGACGTGAAAAACTTCCCTTGTTGTGAATTTTTATAGAATTTTCTGATCAATAAAAAGCTTTTACGATCAAAATCAACTGTTGTGGAATTTCTCGAAATCAATTTTCCCTTCGAAGGGAATGAAAATTTAAGAAGAAACAAATTTCAATTCTTTTGGCGAAAAAGGTGAATATTTTTTATTTTAGTTTTAAAGTTTTAAAATAACTCATCACACTAAAAGATCTTTGAATTACTCATAATATGGAAAGTTTAGAAAAAGGAACTTTAATAAATTTGTACGGCAGAGTACTGTCTAAAATTATTCCGTTTTATCTTTATTGTTAAACTAGAATAATTTTATGTTATTAAAAAGATTTTTCATTTCTTGAAAAAAGCGCTAATTTAGCGCCTTTTTCCAAAAAAGCGCTAAGAGGAAAAAATGCGACTTTTGGATTGTTAAAAGGCGCTAAATCTAGCGCCAAAAGAGCTAAATTGGCAACGCTGACGAGTGCCGTGTGAATACGGCTCTCTTGTGAGAAAATTAAACTTGTCAAAGCACTCAAATGTTCACCTTACTTTTTTGGCCACTTTAAGGCATCGTACGCGAAATTGCACTTATTCACAAAAAAACTGCATTTTTTTAAATAGTTTTCAAGCACTTTTTATTAAGAATTTTGTTTAATTTGCTTGAACTGGAAAAAAATATTTTTTTTTAATTATTGACATTTCATTTTTGTTGTTGTTGAACTTTATTTTACAAACAGAGTTTCAATTTTTGGTATTGAAAATTCAAACAAATTTAAAATTGTAATTTTTTATAAAACTCTGTGTCAAAGAATAATAAGAAGTTGGACTATGACATTGTTTTACAACAATAACATTTCCTTCTCTTCACAATTAATAAATATATTTTTCGGACTTAAAATCTCTTTTTATGCAAAAAAATAAGTTTATTTTAAATATTTTTTTCATTTTCAATACCAAAATATACAACTTTGTTTTGTCAATTTTAATTTCAACACACAAAAATTAATTGTCAAAAAAATTAAAAAAATATTTTTTTAGTTTGTGAAAAATAAAAATATTTCAGATTGTTAAATGCGATAAAATTGTGTAAAAAATTAAAAAATAGTTATGTGTTTGTGAAAAAACGTCGTTCAAGTCCTATTATCCCGGTATTTTCGCGAAAAAGTTTTGAAGTATTGTGAGAGAATTGAGTTCTCACAAGTGTGTTGAATTTACACAGAACTCGTCTGTGAAGAGAAGGAAATGTTATTGTTGTAAAACAATGTCATAGTCCAACTTCTTATTATTCTTTGGCATACGGTTTGATGGTGGGTATATTAAATTCGGCATAGCCGAATATAACACTCTTGCTTGTTAAGATATTAATTTTATTATTTTATTAAATATCACATATAGTAGTACCTAACTCCATACTTAACTCGTTTAAATAGATTCAAACCACCTTCAAAATTTAGAGTTCAATCCTTAATAGTGAAAAATAAAAAGATTTTTTATAAATTTTACTAACAAACGTTTATTAATAAACACAAATTGTTTAAAATATATGTACGTATGAATGTAATTTATGTTTTATCCTTTTTTGTAATATATAAATGTGTATAATATGTTTAATAATAAGCTTTTTACAACTATATTTATATTAAATAACACTACAATGATAAAGTGGGAGTAGCAGTAGAGGTACATACCGTATAATTTTCCAAGCCGGTTACATCAACATTTCAACAAATACCAAAAACCACAATTGGTTGCATTTACATATTGATCTAGTCTTTGCAGATATTTGGTAGGAGGATTACTTCTTCAAATCTGTAACTCAATAGTAATACTCAAATAAAAAAGAATTGATTAGTTTAATTTTAAACAAAATTTAAGAACGCATTATCTCGCGTTTATTTACAAACATTTTACCAATTATCATATGTACAGTAAGAAAACTGCAGTTGATGGATTTGTACATATGATAATATATACACGAAACAAATGATGATTGCAAGAAAAAGTGGTAGAAAAATTACGACATTCAAAAGCAATCGGAATATCGATTTAAATTCTATTAATATTTTGATCGATATCAAATACCGTAATTTGGGCTCTGTGTCATTGTTCTTACATTCTTCATTTGTTCAATTGAAACGATACATATTTTTGCTGCAAAAGTTGTAACGATTTTTGTTCCGTGATAGAAAAACTTAAACCGCTTGCTGTAAAAAGATTCAATTTAGTGTATCAGTTGTGAGGATATATCGTTTTATTGCTCACTCTTGGAGTTGTTGACAAAACCCACCTTGACTACTAGATGCTACATATTGTGCGAGCTTTACACCAGCGTCAAGCACTTTCCGCAGCATCGTTGATGATCCAAAATTAGCCTGAAATGGCGAAAGCAATATTTAGTAACCATTTCATTAAAAGCTTGGAAAAATGTTGAAAGCTAAAAACAAAATGTTTTTATCTCTAACTTCTACTCCCCTACTAAATAACTTACTTATTAATAACTTTAAATTAACTTAGATTATGAATAAACTTACAAGAAACAAAATGAATAATCAAATACTTAGGAATAAATAAAAACAACTAACCAAATGTGTATTTTTACAAAAAACTGTTTAAAACGTCTGGTCACTTAAAAGCTGAAGAGGTGGTGTTCGACACGATTGGTTCCAATTACTTGAACAGAATATTCCAATTTCTGATGAGTCTCCTTCAACATCGACATAATCACTAGTTTCACTATGTTCTTTAGGTGATTGAATAATATCCAATGCAGAACTCATCACATAACAGTGGTCATCGTTAACGCTTTGTATATCACTTTTTTCTTGCATAAGCGTTGATTCTGGCAAAATTAAGTTATCAATATGAACACCATTTACACCCCATATATCATCCCATGTTGTAGAGGTGGAGGGCAAGTTGTTATCTTTGTCACTATCTAAATCTGTGAAAAAGTCGGGAAAAGTAGAAAAATCAAATGATGAGAAATCACACAAAGAACTTTCTAGGGGTACAGTTACACTACCATCAGATGGACTATCAAACTGTATTGACAGCGCGTCGGCATCATTTAAATTACTGCTAAGGCTCGTTGTACTTCTCATGACGTTCTGAATTAAATCTGCATTGCTACTAGAGGTGGAATAAGGTGAACCGCTCGATTCAGGAATGCAACGAAAATTTAATGCATTCACAAGGTTTAATATATCAGTTCTATTAGAAAACAACCCTTCATAATATTTCTTTTCCTTTTCAAGGCGTTGAGCTATTTTTAGCTGTCGCTTAAGAGCTTTCACTAAAGCATGATTAGCTTTCCGAGCGAATTGTAACTCTTTCTCAATTGTTTCCAAATACGCCTTTTTCTTTCGTCTATTTTCTCTTGCCAATAAAGCATTGCGATTGTAGACGTTTGGATCAGGTCTTCTTGTAGGTAATCTTTTTTCTCCATTTCTTTTCTTTGAGGTTATGGAATTTGAACATTTTATTTCCAATACGTGATTTTTGGAAAATGAATCGTCATCGCTGTACTTTTTTAAATCCCAAGCGGATAATGATGATTCATTGTCTGTCTCATTTTCGCTCGAGCTGCTCATTAAATAATCTTCATTTTGTTCCAATAATTTTTTCAAGTCTTCCATTTTTATATTAATTTCGTAACGTTGCGGTTTTCAATCGAAAGCAATAAATAATAGAACTATTATTTTGTTCACCCTTCAAGAATGTTTTTTTACTTTACCTTTTATACAGTCAAATTGTTTTGTAAATTTTTTAAATTTGTTCAATCAATCTGCGTAAAACAAGAAAATGTATTCAGCACAGAAAGCAATATATTTTACTGTAAACGTTTAATAAAATAATAAAACGTAAATTATATATGGTTACTTGTTAGAATTAGGTAAAAAGTACTTGATAACCAATAAAGATGGTAGTACACAACACGCGTTGTAAGCGGCAACGCGTTATAGGCGTCTGTCAAAAAAAGTTGAAACAGTGTATTTTCATTTAACAAGTTACACATTGTAGTTTGTAACGCGTCTGCGCGAAAAGTTCAGCAACTTTTGACGCGTCGTCAGCTGATCAGGGTTGTATTTTGTTTTGTGTAGAATAAAATTAAATAAATTTCACCAACAATGAAAGAAAAATATTAGAAAATAAACAAAAATTTTAAATTTTGATTTTTAAAACGTAAAGGTCCAAACACATACAATACTTTGCGACGAACTGCGATGACAACTACGCAACGTAAAAAAAGAGATGCCCAATCGTTGCGCCGATAAAGTATGAAAAAATAATTAAATATATTTTAATAATATCCCAGCAAAAAAGTGTGGAAAAAGATGTAGAATTTTCATCACAACTAGTAACCCGAAGTGCTTAAAATTCAGGTGAAAAACCTATGAATTTTAGATTAGCGTGTCATTGGAGGGATGTTGTTCATTTTTGACAACTTTGTACTACATCTAATCCTATCTTTAGAAGCTGTAAAAATCCGATATTTGTATGTCAAAAATAAACTACATTCTTTCAATGAAACGCTTATGTAAATTTCATTGGTTTTTCATCAAAATTTGAAGTATGTACTTCGAATATGTTGTTTGTAGTGACATTTCCACATCTCTTTCCCCATTTTTTTACTGTATTTTCATTTGTAAGGATATGTTTGGTTCATACAAGCGAAAAGTATGCAATCGCATTTTTAGATGTGATTAAGATGTCGTTTGTAAAGTATGACATCAATTATTTTTTGCTGGAATAAAAAATTCAACATTTAATATAAAAAATATTTAATTTAAAAATGGTGTTTTTCACACGCACAAATCACAATTAAGCAGAACAAAAAGAACAAACAATATGTTTGTTTTTGTTTCCATTTTCTCTTTCTCTTCTGTTTCGTACGCCAAAGTTGAATATTTTTCAACTTTTGTACGTCGTGCACAAGTTTGACGTTTTGATTGTGACCGCTCTCATTTAAACACATACAGTAAACCCGAGCTGTCAGTCGCAGTTCGTCGTAAAGTATTGTATGTGTTTGGACCTTAAAGCTACGTTCGCAATGCTGGAGTACTCCACACCACAAAGTATATATACATACCCTGTGCTCCACACTCACACACACTTTTTCTTATAATAGAATTTCAAATTTGACTATCTTGTTTTAATCCACTCCAGAGTGTAGATTATTTTCAATCTGGAGTTAACATTTAAATGTTATAGTTAACATGACAAATGTTAAACATAAATTGACAATTAAATAAATTAAAAAAATATTTTTTCTATTTATTCAAACAAAACAGATAGGTACATACATATGTATGTATATGTATGTATGTATGTATGTATGTATGTATGTATGTATGTATGTATGTATGTATGTATGTATGTATGTATGTATGTATGTATGTATGTATGTATGTATGTATGTATGTATGTATGTATGTATGTATGTATGTATGTATGTATGTATGTATGTATGTATGTATGTATGTATGTATTGTATGTATGTATGTATGTAGTATGTATGTATGTATGTATGTATGTATGTATGTATGTATGTATGTATGTATGTATGTATGTATGTATGTATGTATGTATGTATGTATGTATGTATGTATGTATGTATGTATGTATGTATGTATGTATGTATGTATGTATGTATGTATGTAGTATGTATGTATGTATGTATGTATGTATGTATGTATGTATGTATGTATGTATGTATGTATGTATGTATGTATGTATGTATGTATGTATGTATGTATGTATGTATGTATGTATGTATGTAGTATGTATGTATGTATGTTGTATGTATGTATGTATGTATGTATGTATGTATGTATGTATGTATGTATGTATGTATGTATGTATGTATGTAGTATGTGGTATGTATGTATGTATGTAATGTAGGTATGTTTGTATGTTTGTTATGTTTGTATGTTGTAGTTTTGTATGTATGTAGTATGTATGATGTATTTGTTTTTATGTATGTAATGTATGTATGTATGTATGTATGTGTATGTATTATGGATGTATGTATGTTGTATGTATGTTTATGTATGTATGTATTATGTATGTATATGTATGTTGATATGTATGTATGTATGTATGTGTGTATGTATGTGTGTATGTAGTATGTATGTATGTATGTGTGTATGTATGTATGTATGTATGTATGTAGTATGTATGTAGATGTATGTATGATGTTGATGTATGTATGTATGTATGTATGTATGTATGTATGTATGTAGTATGTTTTGTATGTATTTATGTATGATGTATGTATGTATGTATGTATGTATGTATGTATGTATGTAGGTATGTATGTATATGTATTTATGTATTTAATGTATGTAGTATGTATTTTGAGCAAAATGGAAAGGGATTTTCTTTGGTCACCCGTCTCAGACCGGATGTACTATCCACATCATGTCTCCGACCTTTCATTAATAAAATATTTACATAGGCATTTTGAAAAACGGAGCAAAGGGCTGGAATGAATATTCGTTCATTTGGAAGCTTAGTGTCACCTAAATATCAAAATGTGCACAGGTCCCAGCCACTCTAAGAATAGAAGAGTGTATAAAAAGGCTATGAATTAAAGACTAGTCTTAAAGTTCCATTCATTCCTTCCTTTTATGTTAGGACTTAGTTCTTAGTACAAGAATTGTAGTAGACAAATTCGTAAAAAGGAATAACTATTTAGAAAATCTATTGCAGAGTTTCTTAGCAGCCAGAATCTGTATAATTGGGAATGCTTCTTGGATTTCATGCACTTCAATGATGCTCGAGGTTATACGTGGTTATAATGCTTCCAGGAAGCAGTTCCGAAAATATTTATGTGGTCCAAGTTAAATAAATCTGAAGAAATGAAATATTGAACACATTAAATTTATGAATAGATTCCGTGAACATCTTTTAAAACCGTTATTTTATTTGAAAGCATTTAAAACATAGATTCTGTTTCCAAACATCTGATAATGGTAGGAAGCGGCCAAACTCACAATTGTCTTAACATTTAAATTTTAATGAAATTTAATTATTTTCGATATTTTGTTTATTATTATTGTTTATGTATAATGTATACTTTTTGACAAATTATTTAGAATTTTGTTCACTCTATATTTTGAACAGTTAACATCAGGATACACTAAACATACAAAAAAAACAACATGTATTTTGTTTTAGTACAAGTATGAGCTCAATGTAAAACTCAACTGATTGAAATAAAAACAACAAAACATTATTTTGACGTTTGTTTTTGAAATAAGAAAAACATTTGTTTTAATAAAACGAAAAATCATTCGTAATTCAGCCACAAAGTATACAGAGGTGTCATAGTCTCGGTAGACAGTGAAAACTAATTTTTGTGTTTAATACACACAGTGCGTTAAAACAAGCAACACTATATAAGGCTATTTTGTAAACGGAACAACAAACTGCCGGTCCACACTAGGAAACATTTTTTGGGAAACTTTTGATTTTGCGTGAGAGAGAAAGAGAAATAATATCATTCATCTCTCTCGCGGTACGGAGTTTCCCGTACTCGGAAACTTGTTTTGTTTTGTTATTCTTCTCATTCGTACAACAACAAATCAATGCAATTAATACGTAGTTTCTGAAACAAAAGTTTTCATGTGTGGACATTAAGGAAACTTCAAAAGAGAATTAAGAAAAAGTTTCTCAACAAAAGTTTCCTAGTGTGGACCAGGTCAAAGCAAAAGAAAATAAACGAAATTAAAATAAATTAAAATAAAAAGTTTTAATTGCATATAAATTATGTGTTTTATTAATATATGTACATATGTATATACATATTATGATGTTTTATTTTATATTTTTTACAGCAATAAACTAATAATTTACTTACCTGTAATAAGAAAATGGAAAAGATACCCAAAAAATAAGACCAAAACTGAACAAGTTCAAATGATATCGTGCGAAAGAGACAAATATATTTTTTTTTTGCCGTGACGCCTCTGTATAATTTATGATTCAGCTCTGGGTGAAGGAAGATCGTCATGCGCCATTGCCATTATCTCTTAAGGGTAATCTGGCAGTCCTTTTCGCTCTGCCTTCGAGAGTTTTACGTTTCACTACCGCACTGGTTTAGTGTGTGGCGTAGGTTAACGGTACCGCGTTACTGTTTTTCGAGTTCTACATATTAACCATATGGATTCGGATTTATAACCCAACTTTTACTTTGATACATGGTGGAGAACCACAAAAAACTCATTGGATTTTGATGGAGACCATAAAACTCATTAGCTAAGACTAAGCGATCTGGCTTCCTATACAAAGGTATAGGTCGTTTCGGTATTTCTTCGACAAGGCTTCTTAGATTGTTACCCTGGCACTATGCTTGCTTTATGCGGCGCAATTTAAATTTTTAGATTCCAAAAAAAAAATAAAAACGAAAAATAATGCCATCCGATGTAATTAATCTGTAAATGGATAAGATTTTGTTGTTGATACATTATACTTGTTACTCCGGTCGTGGTTGTGGTTCAATATAGAAAAGATATATATTAAAGTAAACGATAGTCATTATTGAAATGCTGTTCTTTTAAATTAAATGAAGAATTGCAGTCATAAGAACGAAACTGGAGTACGAAACCTGGAGTAAGTGGAGTTATTTAATTGTGTTTAGGTCTTGTTTATCTAATGTAATTTTGTTTTGAATGACAACCAATGAAAACAAACAAGCTCTTATCGTTTCCACGACAATTGGATATTCGCTCCGGTCAAAGATTCTCAACCCAGCGATAGCTGTATCAACCGAAACACAAGAAAGAACTATCGCCCACAGTCGAACTCTTACAACATCAAGCTCTTATTGTGAAGGATGTGGCTATAAATGTCCAACATTTTTCGTTACAATTTGCCTTTATTACGTACACTTATACATAAGTCACATCTTGCAACAATTTTTTAGATATCTCTTAAATTTTAAAGATTTTGTCATAAAATAAAAGTTAATATATTATAAGCATTAAGTTCATATAATTATTTGTAAATCCTGATGCCGTAGGCAATTTCTGCGCCAATTAGATATTCTGTACACCTCAACCTTTATTACTGGACAAACAAATAGCGAAGTTAAATTTCTTTATTTCAATGAATTTCATAAATTACAAATGTATTTATTTATTTATTTGTACATTACAATACAATTATGGTCATCGTCACGTCGAGCAGCGTGACGATGACCATACGCCCGTTGTAGTGTAGCAGACCAGAGTCTCTGGTGGGAATCGAACCCACAACCCCCAGACTGACAGGCTAGCACACTGCCACCTAGCCTACCGGGTCACCTAACAAATGTAATATTGATGTTTTGTTTGTAATTTCTAACAATTCTTTATATTAACAAAATAAATGAATGTAATAAATAAGGAAATATGTAAGTATTAAATAAGAAGAAACAAGACTAAAATTAATACTTGTGAATAATATGTACATACAAATACTTAGTAATGAATTAGAAAACGAAGGGGATAAATTGCTAAAAACAAGTTATTGTTGGTAGGGAACCAATTGTTGTTGTTATGAGACCAATTTTTGTTGGTAGGAGACCAATTGTTGTTGATAGGAGGCCAATTGTTGTTGGTAGGGGACCAATTGTTGTTGGTAAGAGACCAACTGTTGTTGGTAGGAGGCCAATTGCTGTTGGTAGGAGGCCAATTGTTGTTGGTAGGAGACCAATTTTTGGTAGGAGACCAATTGTTGTTGATAGGAGGCCAATTCTTGTTGTTAGTAGACCAATTGTTGTTGGTTGGGGACCAATTGTTGTTGGTAGGGGACCAATTGTTGTTGGTAAGAGACCAACTGTTGTTGGTAGGAGGCCAATTGCTGTTGGTAGGAGACCAATTGTTGTTGCTAGGTAGGAGGCCAATTCCTGTTGTTAGGAGACCAATTGTTGGTAGGAGACCAATTGTTGTTGGTAGGATACCAATTGTTGTTGGTAGGAGACCAATTTTTGTTGGTTGGAATTCGAAAAAATCTTTATGAACTTAAATCAATCATATTTTTTAAAAAATTGCCCCCTTTCACAAAATTACTTTAACGCTCATCATTGGCTTTAAAATACCTGCAAGGCGATGAGGTCAGATGGAGTCAGAAATTTCATATTTTGTTCTTTTTGTTCGTTTTTAGGAACTTACCCTTGTTGTAAAATTGGAGATGGAACTATTGGCTCCGCATTCGGCATTAGCAACAGCTTTCGTCCAGCCGTTATTATGTGGGAAGCACGAAAATGGTCCACACATATACGGGTGCTGGGATATAATGTTTTTTGGCATATTTCTGCCCACTTCAATCGCATTTTCTCATCTTTGGGAACGTTAAAAACGTCCCATTTCCAGGCTTCCATTTCCGTTTTTTACAAAGGCAACAACCATTTCAAATTTATCATTTTGGCCGCAAATATATTTATTATATATATGTTTTTTATAAATTTGTTTGCACAATTTACAGTTTTTATGGTTTAAATTTTTTTAAATTCAAATTCATTTATTATAACTGTCACTTCAAATAGACAAAAACAAACTTTGACAGATAAGCTATACTACTTAAGGTGGTATTAGACGACATGTATTTTACATATGTACTGTCACTTTTTTATCCATATGTAATGACCCATTTGGTCCACAATTTTGGGGGATTTGTACGCTCTTTTCATGTAATATCATTAAAATGGCGATTTTTGGCTATATTTGTAATGTTTTCACCCTTTTTCCAGAGATAAAACCAAAATTTAATATTGGAATTTAATAGAACCCATAGGGTATCTAAAAATAATATTTTTTGTTATAAAGATCTGTACTTAAACGTTCCAAGATGTATTTTTGGTATCGTTTTTCAGTTTCTAATTGAATTATCTGCATCATAAATCCCTTTTCGTACCTCTAGGGACGATATTTTCCGACAAAGTTGTCTAGTGTATATTCATGTACATATTGGCACTAATATATTTAAATTTTCAATACATTATAGCGGTATACAACCCCAAAACATGCCTTAACAAAACGTCATCCTATATAATAGATTTCAATTTTTACTACTCGTAACTTTCACGCTTGTGTTGCCCGTTACAATAACACTGTAAGTCCAAAATTTTGGTTTTAATTTGATCATAGTAAATAATATTTAAACACATATCAACATTTTTGAGTTAGATCATGATGATATCGTGCCATGCAGCATGGAGGCCATTGGTATATAAAAATAATGATTTTACTATTTTGAATGGTGTTTCTTCGCGACATGTTTTGGAGTTGTACACTTCCACAACACATTGAAAACTTAAAATGTATAAAAGCTGATATCTAAAAGAATATATACCAGAAAACTTTCCCCGATAACAGTTGATCCTAGTATTATAAAAATGGACTTAAGTTCCAATATATTGAATTAGCGACAGAAGAATGATCCGAATAATTTATCTTGGAACGTTTAAATACAGATTCTTGTAACAAAAAATATTATTTTTAGATAACCCAAGGGGTCTTTTAAGTCCCAATATCAAATTTTTGTTTTATCTCTGGAAAAAAGGAGAAAAATTTAAAATTATGGCCAAAAATCGCCATTTTAATGCTATTACATGAAAAGAGGGTACAAATTCCCCAAAATTGTGGACCAAATGGGCCAAAAATATATCCTTTCCGTGGATAGTAACCCCTTAAAACAATATTACGCATAAAAACCATTCGATTCTATTTGTGTTGCGTATAATATGATCAAATATGCAATACAGAAAAAATTCGTATACTTTTGTGAGGCAATTTCATGGACTTTTTTTAAAAAAGCACAATTAATTTAAGACAATGCAAATTTTTCAAGTTTTAAAAAGCGTGATATCAAACATAAGCACTATCTAGACAATATAACAAATTAATTTATTTGTTTTGCACACTGTTTATTTAGGGGTTAGAGGGAGATGGGTAGATGGGTACTTACGCGGGAATTAGGAGGAAGGGTAAATAAGAAAGGCTTGGGATATTTTCATAAAACGTTATAATACTTATGTGTTTATTGATCTTTTGGGTAAGTATATAAGGTAAGTATATAGGGTAGGTATATAGGGTAAGTATTTTTAGGTTATAAATTCAGATTTTATTTTAGTTGTAAGTATTTTTAAAGGTTTTAGGGTTTTAATGTTTTAATATTGGTTTAGGGTTTTCACAATCATTTAATTCCTTTAACAATAGATATAAGTTTTAGATATAAATTTTAATTGGTTTAACTGTGATATACAAACTGTGATATAAATTAAGAAAATTAAGATTTCCACTAGATTTAGTATTTATTTTTAGTTTTAGGGTTTATCACTAATTATAAGTTTTATCACTAGTTTTTATTTAGGGTTAAGTTTATAATTTATTTATTTATTTACAAACTTTTAATTTGCTGTTGTTTGGTTTGTTGTTTTGTTTGTTGTAGGGTTTGTTGTTTTGTTTGTTTGTTCGTTTAGCGCACACACTTTTTGTTCTTCTCACAGGTGGATTAGAATAGAAGTAAGTTAAAGCTGAAGGCCAAAGCTGCAGCTGACGTTCATATGTAGATGAAGTTGGCTGCAGTTATGTGTGGGTATTAAATGACGTCAGGGATGGACAGTGTTATGTGTTCACTGATGTGAACATCCTCCCGGGCCTGGCAACCTGTGAAGAGAAAAGGACAATTATTTTTATTTATTCAATAAAAATGGTGTAGGGTAATAGGGTAAATTATGCATGTAAAATACTTCATTGTGTGCGGGTTTATTGGGTAGATGATCCCATGACCAGCCAGCCAAGGGTGGAATCCTGGGCTATAAGTGATCCCCCGTCAATGTGAATCACATTCGGTTGTAGGATGCTTGTGTAAAGGTCTCCACCAATTTCCATGGAGACTGGGTTGTTGGAGTAAAACTCCGGGTCAGCCAGCGATATGCGACACAATTTACTTTTAATTGTTTCGTCCATGGGGCTTGGATATGGGGTTTTTGGCAGATCCTTAACCACCTCCATGCAAACCTCGTATCGGAGGCTTGAGGAATAATTTGGTGCAATTAACACCTTCACAAACACCTCTTTGTCGATTTTGAAGGGAGCTAGGGAACTTTCACTAACAAAGACGGCTGCTATTCTAGACTTAGTCAAGCTAGGATTTAGTATTGCCCTTGCCCGCCGACTTCCTACCTGCACAACTGCTGTAGGAACAAACGTTTTCATCATCGACGTTGTTACCGGTGTTGTAACTTTCACGATGTCTAATGATCGTCTTGGAGCTGGTGTGGGTGGAGTTCTTGGTGCCGGAGTTGGTGGAGGGGATTGGTCCTGGGTCAAATTCTTTAAAATCCTATTTGGACCATGTAGGGTGGAGTGGTGTTTACCACCACATTGTTGGCAACGAGCCTTACTCGTGCAACCGCCAATGAGATGGTTCCTCGCCAAACAATTGACGCAGTAGTGCAATTTAACTGCGGTTTTGTATTTCTCCGCCAAGTTCATCTTTTGGAACTTTCGACAGTTTGTTAAGCTGTGATCGGCTTGACAAATACCGCAACCAAAATGGCGTTTTGGTTGACGTTTATCGTTTTTGCGGTTGGGTTTGGGCCGAGATCCATTGCGGCTGGAACGGTTGGAACGTCCTTTACGATTGTTGTTGTTATTGGGTGCCATATTCTGTATAAAAGAAATTATGTGTGAATGAATGAAGTGTAATGAATGTGTTAGTGGGTTAGGGTGAAGAGTTAAACGATTCATAATAAATTTGGGTTAGTTAGGGTGGTTAGTTGAGCTAGTTAGTGATGATATTGTTATTTTGGGTTAGGGTTTGAGTAAAAGTATTAGACTAATTAGCGGGTAAAACAACAATTTTAGTAATTGGTCGGGTTAGAGTTCCAGTTGAAGTTTGTAAGTCAACTACTCTATTTCTACCATCAGAACCAGGGTGTGTTTTGGTCACACGTCCAAGTAACCATTCATTGGGTGCTAAATTGTCTTGTCTAATTACTACAATATCACCTATTTCAACTTCTCGGGTAGGGTTTTTCCACTTATATCTTTTATGGAGCTCTTTAAGATATTCATCTTTCCATCTTTTACAAAAGTTGTGATGTTGTATCCTTAATTTTTGCCATCTGTTTGCCAGGGTTATATTATCACTGCTTGTGTCGGGTTCTGCAGGGGTAAGTATGGGTGAGCCAATTAAAAAGTGTCCAGGGGTTAACGGGTTAAGATCCTGAGGGTTTTCACTTGACGGGCTTAAGGGTCTCGAGTTTAGACATCCTTCTATTCTGGCAAGGAGTGTAGCTAGCTCTTCAAATGTATATTTTAGGGTATTTATTTTCTTCAAATGAGCTTTAAAGCTTTTAACTCCTGCCTCCCATAAACCGCCCATGTGTGGTGCACCTGGGGGTATAAAATGCCACGTCAAATTCTGAAAACTGTTGGTAGATATAACGGAACCTTTCAATTGCCTGATGAATTCCTGTCGCTCTTTCTTCAATAGCTTACTAGCTCCAATGAAATTTGTCCCATTGTCCGAGTAAATGGCGACAGGGCATCCCCGCCTCGAAAAAAATCGAGCGAAGGCTGCCATAAAGGCTTGGGTAGACAAATCAGATGTTGGCTCCAAGTGGATGGCTTTTGTTGCAAAGCAAACAAAAACACAAACGTAACCTTTCGTTATTTTACAAGTTCTGCCACTATATGCTTTGACGTCAAATGGTCCTGCAAAATCAACTCCAACATTTGTAAAAGCTTTATCAATTTGGGTTCTTTCTGGTGGCAACGCCGCCATAAATTGGGTTGTTTGTCTATTCCTATATCTTATGCAGGGTGAGCATTTGTTAACAACATTACTTATCAGATTCTTAAGTTTCGGAATCCAATATCCTGATCGGATTATTCTCAACATAAGTTGATTTCCACCATGCAGGGTTACCAGGTGGACGTGTTGTACTAGTAATTTAGCAAATGCACTTTTATAGGGTATTAATATTGGGTGTCTTTCGGAATAGGACAAACTGTTGGAATTTGCTAGTCTACCATTTGCACGCATTATCATTGCAGAATCTAAAAATGGAGTTAGGGTAAGCAGGTCACTTTTGTTGGGTATAGGGTATTTTCTCTTCAAACAGTTATATTCGTTGTTGAAATATTCTGTCTGACAAAGAATAATAAGTCTATCACGGGTAGATTTGATCTCTGACGCATCAAGCTCAATACTTGGGTGGGTAGTTAATAAACGTAGTCTATCATTGACTAGTTGTGGGTTATTTCGATCAAGAATAACTCTATCATTTCGAATTGTATTTCTTCGGGTATATGATGCGCGATCACAAAATCGATAGACATATGTCATTACTCTTAGAGCTTTTGACAATTTCGAAAATCTTGATAATATATCTGGGTTTTCAGTATTCGTATCTAAGGTAGGGTGGGTATTAACTGTCGTAGTAAACGACTGACTAACTTTAGCTTCAGCTTGAGTAATAAAGTGTTTATCTGTTGTTGACCACTTCGACGCGACTTCTTTCAACCACGATGGTCCATTCCACCATAAAGTGTCATCTTTTAACTCATCAGCATTACATCCTCGGCTAGCAACATCGGCAGGATTATCGTGTGAAGCAACATGATTCCAGTTATCTACTCCTACTGTTTGTAGAATTGTTGAAACTCTGTTTGCCACAAATGTATTCCACGAGTTAGGGTGTTTACTAAGCCAGGCCAAAACTATAGATGAGTCGGTCCAGAAATACGTCTGATGTAAGGGTAGGTTGAGTTGGGTGAGTACATTGTGTGTCATATTTGCCAACAACACTGCACCACAAAGTTCAAGTTTTGGTAACGAGATTACTTTGATTGGCGCAACTCTCGTCTTAGCGAAGAGTAGGGTTACGGAATTAGGTCCGTCTATGGGTGTTACTCGTGCATATAGACATGCAGAGTATGCCTTTTCAGAAGCATCTGAAAAACCATGAAACTCAATTTTTGCTGAAGGTGAAAAGTTAATCCATCTTGGAATACGAATTCTATTAATATTATCGTAGAACTGCAAAAACTTTTGCCATTTTATAAGGGTGAGTGGGTTAAGACATTCATCCCAAGCTGTATTATCTTGCCAAATTTGCTGCATAATAATCTTGGCAGATATAACAATTGGCGCTAACCAACCAGCTGGGTCAAAAAGACGAGCAATGTCTGATAACACAGTTCGCTTTGTGTATGCTGATTTTCTTTCAATTAAGGGTACATTAAAGAAAAACGTATCTTCCTTAGCGTTCCAACGAATGCCTAACGTTTTAGCATTATTTGATTCGGGTAGGGTGAGTAAATCAACATCTAGTAGATGTTCTTCGGGTAAATTGTGTAATAATTCCTTTGTATTGGAAATCCATTTTCTTAAAGGAAAACCAGCAGAGTCTAGAGCCGCGATCAATTGGGTTTGAGCTTTTTGAGCTTCTTCAATTGTGTGACCTCCGGCTAAGACATCATCAACATACATGTTGTTTCGCAATATTTGCGAAGCTATAGGGTGGGTATTTTGAATGTCATCGGCTAATTTGTGTAGGGTTCTAATAGCCAAATATGGCGCACAGTTAACACCAAATGTAACTGTTTGCAGTTCATAATCTTGAATGGGTTCGTTGACGCTTTTACGGAATAATATCCGTTGGAAGGGTGTGTGGGTAGGGTTTAACATAATTTGCCGGTACATTTTTGTAATGTCGGCATTATAAACTATCTTGTAAAAGCACCATTTCAAGATAAGTACAACTAAATCTTGTTGTAGGGTAGGACCAGTGTGTAGGGTATCATTAAGACTGTTGCTGTTCGAGGTTTTGCTAGATGCATTAAATACAACTCGAACTTTTGTCGTAACACGATCAAGTTTAACAACAGCGTGATGGGGTAAATAATAATGGGTGTTTGAAGGAGTGTTTGGGTTATATTTAATTGGTTTCATATGACCTAAATCGATATACTCTTGTAGGACGTTATCATACTCCATTTTAAGCTCTGGCTTTTTCATTAAACTTTTCTCGTTACGTAGAAATTGAGCCATAGCAACGTGTCTAGAGTTTCCTAACTCAACAGGAGGGTATATAAATGGTAAATTTACCTGATAACGGCCATTTGGTAATCGAAGGGTAGTGGTCTTGAAAGTTTCTTCACATAAAGAACTTTCTTCTGAAACTTTGGGTTGGGTGGGTACATCTTCAATTTCCCAGAACTTGGTCAAAACTTTATCAAGCGTGACTGAACTGAAGTATGAAACTAAGGGTTGGTTATTTTGCGAATTCTGAACGGGTCCTGTTAAAATCCAGCCAAACTCAGTTTCCTGAGCTATAAGGGTATTAAGTAAGTCTTTTCTGACTCCAGATTTTAGAATCTGTGGGTAAAAATCGCTGCCAATAATAAAGTCTATAGGTCGACTTTCGTAGAATTTTTGGTCAGCCAATTGAATATTTTCCAAGTCTTGTATTAGGGTGGGGTTTAAATTTTGGGTGGGTAAGTTTTTGGTTAATGTTTTAACAACAATTGCTTGGATATTCAATTTAAATTCATTTTGTGTGTTAGAGCGCAATAAAACTTGACATAATTTATTCGAACGAGCTGAAACTATTTCATTCAATGCTGATATTTCAGCAACTATGGGTGTAGTGGGTAATTTTAACTTCCTTCTCAGTTTATCTGTGATAAACGAGAAGTCTGAAGCTGGGTCAATAAGCGCTCTAGCTGGAAATAGTTCTCCTTGAACATCAACGTTCAGAACTGCAGTTCCTAATAACTTCGTTCTGTCATCTATGGGTATTGGTTTGCTTGATTGGGTGTGGGTTGAGAAAGACTGTACTGCATTGTGTGATGTTGACGCCTGAGTATTTTCAACTTGTGGGTTAGAGTTCGGCTTGTGTAAAAGCGAATTATGTTTACCGCCGCAATATCTACACTTAAATGCGCTATAACAATCTTTTATGACATGTCCAGTAGCTAAACAATTGTAACAAATTCCATTCTCATTTACAAATTCAATTCTTTGGTTTAATCCTAAAGAATTAAATGAAGAACATTCTCTTAGGGTGTGATTCTTTTCACAAAGTTTGCAAATGGACCCATAGAGTTTAGTTTGGGTGTTTTGGGTATTTGGAGTCTTTTGAGGAATATATTAATATTAAATACAAAATATTTTTATATTATATTGCTTGACAAATAAAACTAATATAATACAAAAAAATGGAAATTTAAATTTTATTAGTAAGTTGTAAAAAATACACTTACCTTGTTTGCTGGGGGTAGGGTACAAACCTTCACAAGAGATAAACCAAAAAAATCTCTTGTGTTGTCGATTCTTCTTTACACCTTCTTCCCGCTATGATGTGTGTTGATCTTGTGTGTAGTGTTGCTGTTGTAATATGTAAGCTGGGTCTGGTATGTATGTTTAAGCGTGTGTATATGTTTTGTGTGTGTTTTATTTCTTGTTTATTTTTGCGTATTAATGTTTTTTAATATTTTTAAAAATATGTACAGTGTGTGTTATATATGTAATTTTTTTTTGATATTTTAATTGTTATTTATTTTTGTTTTAATAAATTTTGCGTATATATATTTATAAATAATTATTTGTTAATTTAAATGTAATTTGTGTATGTTTTTTGTGTAGTTTTTTATTTTATTAACAATTTCTAATATATTTTAACAAACGGTATGTGGGTATTTATAAATGAAAAAAAAAAAAAAAACTATTTTCTGTTTCACTGTATTTTTTGTTGTGTGTCTTTTGTTAATAATATTTGTTTTTATTTTTAATGTATTTTTTTTTTTTGTTTTCACTGTTTTTATGTTGAGAATTTTGATTTTTTGTGTTTTCTGTTTATTTTAAATTTGTTTCAGTTTTATTTGTTGAAAATTTTTTGTTGTCTTTTGTAACAAATATTTTGTTTTTTACTTTGTGCACTTTGTTGTTTATTTTACACAATTTATTTGTTTTAAGCTTTTTGTCTGTTTTTTGTTACAATTTGTACACTTTTTTGTTTTGTTTTTTTTTTTTTTTTTTTTTACAATTGTAATTTTTTACACAATTTTATTTTTAATTTAGTTTATATTATTTATGTTTTAGTTTGTAGGGTATTTTTAATTGTTTATTCTCTTTTTTTTTTTTTTTTTTTTTTTTTTTTTTTTAATTTTTAGTTTTATTTTTAAGGGTGGGTTTTTTATTTTTTTTTTTACATACACTTGCTTTTGCTTACTTTCAACACTTCACTTTCTTCACACTTTTTATTTTTTAAGCTTACTTTCTTTTCAGCTTTATTTTTGTGGACTGTATTTTTTATCAATATAGCCGTTTCTTTTTTAAAGGCTCGATTGGACCAATGTTTCTTTAGGGGTTAGAGGGAGATGGGTAGATGGGTACTTACGCGGGAATTAGAGGAAGGGTAAATAAGAAAGGCTTGGGATATTTTCATAAAACGTTATAATACTTATGTGTTTATTGATCTTTTGGGTAAGTATATAAGGTAAGTATATAGGGTAGGTATATAGGGTAAGTATTTTTAGGTTATAAATTCAGATTTTATTTTAGTTGTAAGTATTTTTAAAGGTTTTAGGGTTTTAATGTTTTAATATTGGTTTAGGGTTTTCACAATCATTTAATTCCTTTAACAATAGATATAAGTTTTAGATATAAATTTTAATTGGTTTAACTGTGATATACAAACTGTGATATAAATTAAGAAAATTAAGATTTCCACTAGATTTAGTATTTATTTTTAGTTTTAGGGTTTATCACTAATTATAAGTTTTATCACTAGTTTTTATTTAGGGTTAAGTTTATAATTTATTTATTTATTTACAAACTTTTAATTTGCTGTTGTTTGGTTTGTTGTTTTGTTTGTTGTAGGGTTTGTTGTTTTGTTTGTTTGTTCGTTTAGCGCACACACTTTTTGTTCTTCTCACAGGTGGATTAGAATAGAAGTAAGTTAAAGCTGAAGGCCAAAGCTGCAGCTGACGTTCATATGTAGATGAAGTTGGCTGCAGTTATGTGTGGGTATTAAATGACGTCAGGGATGGACAGTGTTATGTGTTCACTGATGTGAACACACACAAAATATATTATTAAATTTGGTTTCTTTTTATAGTTTACCCAAATTCGAATAATTATGAGAGACACTGTATGTCAAAATTGTTATTTTACATACGATTCATAATTTTTGCTATCACACCCATGGTAAAAATATGAAGGTAGTGTCATTCTCTCTTTTAGACGCCATATTAAACTTCTGACGTTTGCTGGTATTTTAATAAATCGAGCTACCACATTTATTTAAAAAATCCATTTTTTTTGTTTATTTTTCAATCAAAATAAATTAAATAAAAATCAATTTAAACTGAAAATCAAACAAAATTTTAAATATAATACAATAAAAATTTAAATAAAATTGCCAAAAAGAAAACAGCTTTATAAGGAAAATGAATAACCAAAACTATATGTTTCCTCTTAAGCCCAATATAAAATGGATCGACACTATGGAGACTCACGATAACATTGTCTGTTGCTTCTCATGTTCTTCAAGTTGGAGAAAGGATTAACAGAAGAAACCTAATAAAACGGCTATATATAAAAACGTTTTTTAATTAATATTAGTTTATATCTTGTTACATTTAAAATTTATCTTCCAACATATACATATGTAGGTATATGGCAGACCAGAATTTGCTGTCCGTATCTATAACGTGTGCAATATGTGTTCCATTCGGTCCAAGAATACACGGTTTTCTTCAAGTAAAAAAAACGAGTAATGATATCTTTTGGCTACTTTGCTTCCATCTTCTTGTCTAATGTTGAAACCATTATTGGGGTTAGGGCAAGAATGCTTATTCCACTTTTTGGCTGTTACCCTTAATATTAAAGGCTAATGTTTGTTTTGTGTAAATTCATACCCAGCAATAAATGGAAATCATACTTTACACACGAAATCTTAATCACACCTAAAAATGCGATTACACATTTTCCGCATTTATGATCCTTAAATATAAACCTAAATAATAATAAGAAACAGATGTAGAAAGGTCACTGGTGAAAACCAATGATTTTTAAAAAAGGGTGTCATTGGAAGAATGTGGTTTATTTTTGACATACAAATATCAAATTTGTACTGCTTCTAAAAATAAGGTTAAATCTACTTCAGAGTTGTCAAAAACGAACAGCATCCCTACCTTAAAAAAATCAGTTTTATTGATTACTGCAGTGTTAAGGACACAATTATACTTTCCACATACACAACACAAATTTCTTAAAAACTAGTTTCCCCCTTTATCATATGTGGTAACGATTTTTCTATTTATTTACAAAATACAAAGTTCATAAAATACCAGTAAACTTCAAAAAAAAATTTGAGAGAGAGAAATGACACTACCTTCATATTTTTACCATGATCACACCTGCCTGTGTTTTTCCGTATGACATAACCTATAATGTAATCAAAGCTGTCTTTTTAATGTGTAAAAATTGTTAAAATTATAAATTAGTTTATTGTCGCGCAGCAAAATTATATTCAAGACTAAGACTTGGCCATACCTTAACTACTCATCAATATTTATTGTTAAACCCATATGCAACTCATGTAACACACCCTATACGGTAGAACACATTCTGGATTGCTGTCAGCTATTCACACATGAGAGAATCTCAACCTTTGGATCAACAACACCTAGCCAATTACTTACATTACCATCTGATCAAAATATTACTAAATTATACTCATTTCTTGTAAAATGCAAAATTGTTAATTCTATTTAACTTTATTTATACTAACCGCAGAGTTGAAGGCCTAGTTGCTCTTACTCGTTTTTCCATGTTATATAATGCCATTTATTGTATTATATAATAATAAAATAAATAAATAAAAATAAATTAGTTTATTAAAAATGAAAATAATACTTACTTACTAATGTTCTTTATTCATTTTCTTTAATTTACTTTTTTCAAAAAATGTTATTTCAAAGCAAAACAGCTATTTTGTTTATGTTTGTCATACGAAAATAGAGCACGCTCTAATCGAAAAAATTACATACATATGTATTTCCACATGTATTTTACTATGCAATGTTTCATATGTATCAGATATGTACAACTTTTACAGATGGAAATTTTGACAGTACATATGTAAAATACATGTCGTCTAATACCACCTTTACGTATAAAAAAATAATCAGCTGTTCGATTGCATATACCTGTTTATTTTATCATGGTTAACATATTTTTGGTGGAGTGCATATTGGAGTACTCCAGCATTGTGAACGTAGCTTAATAGTCTTTAAAAACATTAAAGGTTGAAGTACACAACACGCGTTGTACGCGGCAACCCGTTATAGGCTTCTGCCAAAAAAAGTTGAAATAGTGTATTTTCATTTAACAAGTTACGCATTGTAGTTTGTAACGCGCCTGCCGCGAAAAGTTCAGCAACTTTTGACGAGTCGGCAGCTGATCAGGGTTGTATTTTGTTTTGTGTAGAAACTAAAATGAAATAAATTTCTCCAACAATGGAGAAAAATATTAAAAAATAAAATTTTGATTTTTAGAACAGTAATAGTCTTATGGTATGTTTCCACTGGCTTGAAATCTGCTAGATATTCGTAAACCTCTTCAAGGTGTTTCCACTGAGCTTACTCGTTTTTGATATTCGAATTTTTGAACAAATTCTGTCACTTTATTTTTTCATATCCACAATACAGTTAATTTTATTTGAAATTACTTATTAAAAATAAAAAATTACAGTTGTAAACGAATAAATTTATTTATAAAATGCCACTAATTTTAAAATTATAATTTGTTATTATTTTCACTTCGAAATTAATTGTCACTTTTTCGAAGAAAACATTCAATTTGATCAGGGGTCGGCAAACTACGGCTCGCGAGCCAAATGCGGCTCTTTGGATGTGGAGCTGTGGCTCTTTAGTTTCATAAACACTTTCTTATTTTATAAACAAATATTTATATATTTTAAAATCTTTCTGAATCGATTAACGAGCAGTGTTTGTTAAAACTAACAAAACAATTCGCAAACGTTTTTACAATATACACAACTTTTCATCTTTGTTTAATCGTTTTGTACATAAGCAAAATAAAGCAAATTCTTTTTGGCCGAGAAAGAACGAAAACAAAACAATTTGTTTTCAGTCATTTCCTTGCTTTTATTTACCATTGTGCCATTTGGAATTGGTACTGGATCTCTAGAAATGCAGTTGATCAATTTAAAAAGTAAAGCTTTGGTTACGGAAAATTGTCAAAGTTTAAAAGCCATTTGATAGAGTTAGGTAAAAAGCCAACTAACAAATGAATGTTTAGAGTCGTTTGTGAAACTTTCTAAAGCCATACAAACCTATCTCTACAAACCTTGTTCCATGTATTGTAAGAAAATGTTTAATTCTTTAAATTTTTAATTGAAAAGTTCAGTATAAACGAATGGGGCATCATGAGCGCTCCTACGAAGTGCCATTAGGTAAGATGTAAATCATGATCGTAGTTAGTTAGTTTGAAAGGAGGATGTACATATATACATCAAATCCGAAGAAATACACCTAGGCCTCTATCGGGCCTGTTGTACGCTCCTTAACCAGTGCCTCGGGTTGGAATCGAACCCACCACCTCCGGTCTACCAGACTAGAACACTAACCACTAACCCACCGGAGGCCACTGATCCTACATTTTGAAGTTTTCATGTTTTTCGAATTAAAACATATTTTTTGAAAATTGAATGTATCGTAATTAATTAATTAATTAATAATGTGGAGAGTTTGGATACAGTTAAATACTAGAAACTTGGTCTATTTGAAAACTTCAATATTGGGTGTTGGTTGGTAGTATCAATTCGGAACCCATCTTATTAAATTTGGTACAGATATTTTTGTTTATATAAATTTGTTTATGACGAATTTCACAACTATGCTGGTATTATTAAGCCTGTTATGAGCGTTAGTCATTTTCCGAAGTAGACCTTATAAAAGGGGATTGGTCAATTATGTTCGGATCCTCTTAAAATTTGGTCGAGAAATTTTGTTCTTATAAAACTTGTTTGTGTCAAATTTCGTCGCTTACTGCTATTATTAAGTCACTTAGGAGCGATAGGGTAATTTTCTAGTGGTGATCTTATATGGTGGTAGGATCAATTATGAGTCGATAGTCACCAAATTTGGTAAAGAGATTTTTGTTCTTGTTTGTATTGAATTTCGTCATAATACAGTTATTAATAGGACAGTTATGAGCGTTAAAATCAAATTTGGAAGATAGATATTGGTTCTTATAAAAGTTGTTTATTTTGAATTTCGTTGAAATATTGCTACTGTTAAGTCAATTATGATCGTTAGTCATTTTCTGAAAAGGACCTTATATTGGGGTTGGTAAAATATGGTTCGATGTCCGCAATACATCACAATATAATTTCTGTATGCATAAAAAAACTTTATC